CTTGGTTCCAAGTACTCTGACTGCAAACCCAGCTCCGCGCACGGATTCCCAAGCCCCATCAATCCCCAAATTTATTCTCAGTTCTTTAGAGTTTAAAAATATAATGTTTATTTTTTTCAGGCACTTTTTAATGGGCCAGACATTGTGACCACTTGGAACCAAGGAAGAGGCCTATCTCCCTGAAAGAATTAAATAATGATTTTTAGTCTGGCCGAGGAGAGAAAGCTGGTCACGTTAAGGGTTTTGGACCCTAACATAAGGGAGAGGCATGCTACTGACAGCTTTTTTCTTTAATAAACTTAATTTTGGAATATAGTTATATTTACAGAAAAGTCCCAAAGATACTGCGGAACGTTCCTGCATGCTTCTTACCTACTTCCCCGATGTTAACATCTTATGTAACCACAGGGCATCTATCAAATCTGAGAAACCAACACTGGCCCATTACTCTTAACTCAACTCCAGGCTTTAGTCTGATTTCACAGGTTTTCTACTAATGGCCTTTCTGTTCCCGCAGGCAGTCCAGGTTACCATGTTGTAGCATGAATGGGTTTTTAGGGACAGATAACACAATCTAGATTTTTAAAGGCTAACTCACTTGACTGTGGGTCCATTGGAGAATATGCAGGTGGGGGAGGGGGGGTTAGTAGGGTAGATGCCGGGAGGCAGGGAGATGTTCCCTCTTGTCATAGAGGACCGAGGCCATGTAGCCTGGGTCGGGTGGTGGCAAGGCAGAAGTAAACAGGACTGAGTTAGACTTAGGAGGTAGCGTTAAAAATGTTTGGTTTCTAGATTGAATTCAAGAACCAAGGATGACTCTCGGGTTCCTTCATTTGATAACTGGCTAATATTTACTGAAATGAACACAGAAAGAGGAGCTAGGGGGGCTTGGGGAGGGTTGGAGGAGGTGAGGGAGGTGATGAGCTCAGTGCTAGACCTGGATTGGAGATCCCTGTGCAGTTCCCAAGCAGAGATGTTTCATGAGCAGTTGTGTTAACAGACCCGAGCTGGTGACAAGGATTTGGGAGTGACTCACCAGAGGTAACAGCTAGAACCTCGGGATTGAATGGGAGTACCCAGGGACACAGCACAGAGAAATGTGGACAGGCCTGGCCCAGTTTCCTGTTGCACCATTATCCACAAGAGGGGAGGAGAGGGGGGAGGGCAGGTAAGGTCCATTTAATGTCATAAAACACAGAGAGGGGCCTGAGTGCAGTTCAGAAGGACACTCTGCCCTCAGGTGTGCTTCACACGGTCCTAGTCCATTTTTTTGGTTCCACTTAGATTGATTTTGCTCTGTTGGACCCTGTGCCTCAGAGGGCGGCCCAGATGCTCTGTAAATGCAACTGAGGCAGTGAGACAGTGTCCTTTTTTTTCTAAATTGAGTTGAAAAGATGTTATCATACTCGAGGGCCTCCTCCCCTGCCTCCTGCTGGAGGTGGTGCAGACTTCTAACTCAGCAGTTAGCACAAAGTACTGCGATTTTGAAGACATCTGTCTCCACTGAAGGGCAAAGTCCTTGAGATCAAGAACCGTGGATACCACGTGCCAGTCGGGCGCCCCCACTCCTCCGGCCAGTCTCAGCTCAAGGTTCACTGCCTTTCTGAGCCTTGCCCGGCTTCCCCAGGCAGAGAACATGGTAGGTGCCAGCCGTGAAGATGTGAAAGTTCTGAAAACCAGAGAGTCGGGTTTGACCAGGACATGAGGTGTGAGGAGGGGGCGTGAGATGAAACAAGCAGCCCTGGGCCAGGGAGTAAGAAACCCATGTGCCAAGCATGAGTCAAGCTCAGGAAGAGCCGTTTGGTGACACGTGAAGGACAGACCAGAGGACGCGAGAACCAACAGAGACGCGGAGCTAATCAGACGCCGTTACGCAATGACAACCTGAACTTGACTCCCAACAGGCCGGAGGGAGAGCCATGGGTATGAGAGAGATTTAAGGGACGTCAGAGCTGATCACCGATTGAATGCCAGGATTGAAAGGAAGGAAAGGGTCACAATGACACCCCATATCTGGTTTTTGCAGCTGAATGGATATTTAGGAAGATAGAAGAAGGTGGGAAGGAGCAGGGGCCGAATGCTTGGACCGCAGGTTCCTTCCTTTGCAGTTATATGGTGTCATCCCTGTTGCTGCCTAGCAAATTAGAGCTCTGGGGCTGTTAGCAGCTGACTGCCCAGTGAGTTTTGGCAGCCACGCCACGCCTGCCGCCTGCGGCGATGTCTCGGGGGAGCAGCACGGTGGCCCTACAGGAGCGCTGGGTTTAGAGCCACCACACCTTAGAGGCTCCATCACAGATCATGGATTTTAATTTTTCTGAATCTCAGGTTTCTCCCTTCGAAATGTGAACGTGCCTGCCCGCCCGCCCGACCCACCAACCTCGAGGGGTTATCCCCGAAGCCAGACGGCGTGGGAGCAGGTGTGGGGATGCTGTCAGATCGTGACCCCTCTGGGCCCAGCTTTGGGTCTCATGCTCAGCCCACACCCCCCACACACACCAGGCCCGGGCCTGCTGCCCCTGGAGCCCACCCACCTCACCGCGTGGCTCCCTTTCCTTCCCCCTTCCAGTCTGTAAGTGATTCTGCTTCTCCACAACCACATCAGCCCTGGGTGTTGCCATTATTTTTTCATTTTAGCCATTCTGACAAGTGCATGTGGCTATCTCATCTCATTAAGGCTCTAGTTTGCATTTCACCAGAGGTGAACGATGTGGCACGTCTTTTCGTGTTCTTACCTGTCATCTGTGTCTCTAGTGAAACAGGCCTTCACGTGTCTTTTGTCCGCTTCGTACTTGGGTTGTTTTTACTGTTGAATTCTGAGAGTTCTTTATATAGCGTAGGTATAAGGCCTTCGTGAGATGTGTGGTTTGCAAGTGTCTTCCTAGTCGGTAGCTTGTCTTCACATCCTCTCACCAGAGTCTTCTTCAGAGCAAAGCTTGTGTTTTAGTTTTGAGCAAGTCCAACTGCATCATTCTTGTGTGGGGATTGTGCCTTTAGCCGCGTCTCAGAACTCGTCCCCTAGTCCTAGGTCCTCAAGACATTCTGTATTTGATTCTAAAGG